AGACCCTATCAGTGAAAAGGCTGGGATGTTCTTTTGCTGTGTACCACCTGCTGCATCATTTACCACCAGTATAGCCTGTCTTATAGCAGTTACCAGCTTGGCTATGTAAAGTCATTGGGTGATCTTGGACAAGTCACACACTCTCAGCCACAGAGGATAGCAATGACAAACCTCCTCTGAAGGAACATGCCAAGAAAGCCCCATTACATAGGGTTGGCATAAGATGGAAATGACTTGAAGGCACACAACAACAATAGCAGTTAACGTGTTCAGTACCAAACAATGTCTTGAGGAGGCCTGGAACTACAATCAGGTCTGGAATAGAACAGGGACTGGTCACTGGTTTTCCATGAAAAATCAAAGGGGTTTCTGGACTTTCTAAAGTTGTCCCTCCTCCACACTATGACAGCTCCCTCTTCAAACCATAAACAGTTCAAACCAGAATTATATACAGGCAAGCAGCTGGGGTTCTGCAAGAATTGACGATGGCGGGTGCTGAGTAGGATGATGGTGGCCAGGGTGTTACTTCCGGATCACCTCAGCTTCCTCATTTTTAGAAACCATACTTTTCAGATCCAAGTTTCTAGCTCTTAATTTTCGCAAAGACTCATTTGGAATGTGTGCAGGCAAAATACTGTTGCTGTCTTCAACCCCCAAAAGGAGGAAGATAAACTGTGGGAAAAGAGGATACTGGATGTGAGGAGGCATTGGTCTGATTCATCACTGTTTTTCTTATGTGGTTTCTTTTCATCTCAAAATGTGATCTCCATAAACTAGAAGCAGTCTGCCTCAATACTGGCTGAGAGTGTGCAGCAAACAAGGAGGTACAATCACACCCTCCAACTGTCCAACTTTTAAAATGTACCCATTTCTCCCTCTCTTCCCACTTCCTCCTCAGTTTACTTCAGTTTCTGCAAACTGAGTTCAAAGTGGAAAACAGTTTGTACTCAGTCAACTCAGCCAGAAGGAGAAGAGGGAAGAGGGGAAAGTGCTGTGCTTCCCAGTAAGCTCAGGCAAAAGCAAACAGCTGCAGCCGCTCCTAGTTTGTGTCTCCCTCATTAATAATATTTGCATCTTGACCACACTGATGTTGCTCAGTCAGACAGTTTTCTTCTGTTATATGCTGTTGCTGAGATGCAGCAAACAGCAAAGTAGTCTTACTGTTGTGCCCTGCTTATGAGAAATGAAACAGGATGCTGCTGGAGGTAACCTAGGTCAGCGGGTGCAAAAACAGGGGCTCTCTGAGCTACTTTGGGACTCCAGATCCCATTTGTTCTCCAGCTCTCACAGAGTGTAGTTCAAGAGTGATGTCCAACCTCTAAAGGGGCACCGGTTCCCCACCTATGAGGGAGGCTCATAACCCAACAAGCAATAACCAAACAAGGCTTGCCGTAACTTCTGCAAACATTTCATGGCAGGATGGGGTGACGCCAGGTTGAGATCGCACACCCCTTTCATTTTGTACGGTGAGCAGACTGTATTGTGATGGTGGAGGGGATGGTTGAGTTAATGAGTTCATGTTGTCTTCTGTGTCTCCAAGCAATGACAGTCAACAACCTCCCCACCCCCATGGAGTGCAAAACCTCCCCTCCTTGGCCAAGGGAAATCCTTGCATCTTATTTCTCAGAAACTGAAGCACTCATAACAGCTCCCACCACCTTCCTCTCCCACCAGGCATGCACACACTTTCAGGCTTGGTGTGCCACTGCATCTCCCGCCCACTGTTTGCTCAAGGCCTCTGGTTACTAAGAGGAAAAGAAACTCAGCAACCATAGCTCCAGTCTGCCCCTCTTCGCTTTTCCCTTACCACAGGATATCCTCTCTCAGCTTTTGCAGAGAGGTCTCTGACTTCCTATGGCCCCCTAAGCTTGCTGTGATGCAGCGGCCAAAGGAAAAGCACTCTGGACATGCTCAGGGCTGCTCTTCTACAGTGGCGAGGCCTGTGGGGCGGAGGATTAACAGGGGCAAAGTCAAAGGGTTGCTGGAGGGGAAATCAAATATGTATATGTGTGTGTGTGCATACGTGTACATGGCCAAGATTTGAAGTCTCTGTGGCATAATTTTATAATTCTTTAGCTACGTCATAGAGAAACCCCATTCATGAATTGTGAAGATACATATCAGGGAACTGCCAAGAGCTCTAATGCACTTCAGGCACATCTGATGAACATTGGGCACTTCTGATGAACATTGGGCACTTCTGATGTGCCCTGGCATTTCCTAGGTGGTGTCTGGATGCTTACTGGAAAGCACTCCAATGAAAATTGGTGCCCAGTGTACATGTGAAAGGGATCTAAGAGTCCTAGTAGCCCACAAGTTGAACATGAGTCAACAGTGTGATGCAGCAACTAAAAAAGCCAATGAGATTCTAGGCTGCATCAATACCGGTACAGTGTCTAGATTGAGGGAAGTCATATTAACACTCTATTCTGTTTTGGTCAGGCATAATCTAGAATACTGTGTCCAGTTCTGGGCACCACAATAAAAAAAGAATGTTGACAAACCATAGTGTAACCAGAGGAGGACAACTAAAATGGTGAAAGGTCTGGAAAGGTCTCCCCAAGCCCTATGAGGAACAGCTTAGGGAGCTGGGAATGTTTAGCCTGGAGAAGAGAAGGTTAAGGGGTGACGTGATAGCCCTGTTTAAATATTTGAAGAGATGTCCCTTTGAGAATGGAGCATGCTTGTTTTCTGCAGCTCCAGAGACTAGGACACAGAGCAAGGGATGTAAGTGACAAGAAAAGAGATTCCACCTCAACATTAGGAAGAGTTTCCTGACCGTAAGAGCTGTCTGACAGTGGAAGATGCTCTCTCCTTCTTTGGAGTTTTTTAAAGAGAGGCTAGATGGCCATCTGTCATAGGGGGTATTTGGATTGTGTCTTCCTGCATCGCAGAATGGGTTTGGACTGGATGACCATTTGGGGTCTCTTCCAACTCTATGATGTTATGATTCTATAATTCATTTGTGTGTCAGACCATGGAGCATCAGTCACTCCACCATTGTGCAAGGGATGCTGGCAGCACTACTTTGCCTACACACATTGCAAAAGTGTCTTTGCAAACCTTAAGGGCTAGAAACCTGAATCTGAAAAGTATGGTTTCAAAAAAATGAGGAAACTGAGGTGCTCAGGAAGGAACATCCTGGCCCCCATCATTTCACTCAGCAAGTCCCCACAACTCTTGCAGAATCCCAGGCAGCTGCTTGTGAATAAGACCTGCACCTTCACCTTGCAGGGGACCACATTATCCCAGAATTTGAGCACACCCTTGTCATGGAAAGAAACTCAGCAAAGCCCCTGGGAGTGGCACTTCAGGTGGGAAGGGAATCATTTTTCCCCTGGCTTGTCCTCTCGCTGGTGGTTTCAGCTCTCAAAGTGGCGCAACCTGTTTTCTTCTCCCCTGACTTCTTTCTGACCTCGTACCAGTCCCCTGAAGTCGGGTGCTGCCTGCCCCACCGCACCTTCCCTTTGACTCACTGCCTTTCTTGCAAGGAAAACAACAACAACCAACTTTCTCCCCAGAACTGTACTGGCCAAGGGTGACATTTAAAAAATAATAAAAATCATCCTGTGATCTCAACAGCCAAATCTGCAGGGCAAGTTTCCTGCAGGCAGTTGAGACTGATGGCACATGCTGACATTTGTTATTTATTTTATTTGTAAGCTGCCTTCCTCTCAGAATGGTTCCCAGACAGAGTCAATTTAAAAAATCACAATAAAAATGTAAAAACAATTAAACTCACCATATTTTAAAAACAGTATAAAATCATTTCAAAGACATACAAAAGTTTTAAAGATAATCCCACCTTGATATATAATTTGTTAGATTCTAGAGAATAACTAGGTTTAGGGTTGTTGTTGTTGTTGTTGTGTGCCTTCAAGTTGTTTCTGACCTACGGGGATCCTAAGGCTAACCTATCATGGGGTTTTCTTGGCAAGATTTGGTCAGAGAAGGTTTGCCATTGCCTTCCTCTGAGACTGAGAGAGTGTGATTTGCCATATGTGCATTAAAGCTGTGCTTCTAGTCCTTATGAAGTTGAAAGAAGTATACATACATGTCCACGCGCACATAGACACACACAGAGGGTTCATGTTGCCTTTCAGGGCAGAGACTAGCTGAGTAATCTACCAACTGTTTCGGAAGTTACTTTTAAACAGTCATCCACTCTCATCACTTGCTACAGTGTTTAAAAAGTAAGACCTTACTGTGCCTTGTTACCAGTTTGGAAAGTTAGTGTTGTTGTTGTTGTCTACCAGATGTTAGTGATTGCAGTTGTGAACCATCACTTATTCAGATTATGTCCAATAATCTAGGAATCCGTATCACTGGACAATGAGGCATATCAAAGTAGGGTTACTTTTTGTCAC